AGCACACAAGCATCTTAATAGAAGGCAAAGAGAATTAACACTTATTGAGCACCTTCTACATGGCAGGTGTTTTACATACATGGGAATACTAAGGTATATGTTAGTTTTCATTTGTTCATTTAATCTCAAGACACTGAAAACAACTTTTTTTTTTTTTTTTTTTTTTAACAGCCTTGAAACTGAAGCTCAGAGCAGTTAGGCAAGCTGCCCAAAGTCACTCAGTTAGAAAGTTGGACTCTGCGATGGAAATTGCATCTGATTCCAAAACGCATATATCACAACCCTACTGACATGATTAAGAATTCAGGGGTCTAATCTGCCACAGTGTCTTTGAATCAAACAACAAACAAAATGCAACAAACTTTAGCATACTTGCTAATCATATTAGTTTACGTGGCCGCCTTGCTCTGACCGTAATTCCCTCCCTTTCTCCCACTCTCCACCACCACAAATCGTTCAGTGTCTAAGGGTTACCAATTGTGCTAACAGTTACCGGGAGAACAGGCTGGCCTTTTTGCAAAGCTAAAAAGTTAAAATTTGTGGTATGGGACTAACTCCAAAGATCTAAAAAAAAATACAAAAACAAAACAAAACAAAAACTGCTGTTTGGGACTGCAATCCCTCACTTCCGCCTCGACTGGGCGAGATGGAACCTCAGCACGAGGCACGACACTATTCCCAGCACGCGCGCCCCTTCGGGCAACTGCTCGGTCGGCCCGGACTGCGCAGGCGTGAAAGCCTCAGCGGCTGGGGGCGGTCGGCTCGCGGTTTCCCTGGAGACCGGGCGGAAGCGGCCAGAAGCTGCGCTGCGGTTGGCCTCGGCGGGATGGAGCAGCTAGGGGTGGAGCCCGAGGAGGAAGCGGGCCGAGACGAGGAAGAAGACGCGGCTCAGGCCATGGAGCGGGCGGAGGCGGGGGAGGCAGGCGGCTCGCCCGGTGCGCCCGGGCCTGAGGAGCCCGGCGGCCTCACTTGGTGTAAATAAGAAGGGCGGGGCGGGCGGAGGCCAAGGGGCGGCGGCGGCCGTTGGGGTGCGACGGTCCCCGCCTCGTTCTGGTCCTTTCGTTTTCCCGGCTTGATGGAAAGAGCTGTTCTCCGCTACCTGGTGTTTTACGGCCAAGATCCCGAAAGGATGGCTTCGCCTAATAGGACTAGGGTGGGCGTGTCAATTATGATAGTCGAGGTTGCACTTGTGATCCCCCAAACCGCCCGGTGAAAGGCCTAAGAGGTGCCCGGAAGGTGTAACGTTGCAGAAGTAGAGAGCCTTGTCGCGCACTTGGCAGAGGCTGGGACTCAGGCTGGGCTCGGAACCGGAGACGGGGCACATCTGCAGTAGCCGTCTCTCCGTGACCCACTTCCAGCCTCTGGGCTCTACCTTATACTGCCCAACCCCAGGGCCTGGGGCCAAGGCTCTAATTCCCGGCCTTCCCTTCCCCTTTTAACTTTTAAATTTAGGAATAATGTTAAAGGAGTTGCAGAAGTGCCTTTCCCTAATGTTAATGTCTTCTATGACTGTAGTACGTGTGTCAAAACTGAGAAGTGAACACTGGCATAATGCTCTTGACTAAAGTACAAACGTACCAGTTTTTTCCATTAAAGTTTTTGTGCCATATTCAGACCAGAATACCACATTGCTCTTAGCCTGCCTTGTTTTTAACTGGGTAAAAGCTGGAATCTCCTCTCTTATCCCCCATGCCTTCCCCACCCCATGACATGAGCTACTTTTTAAAATTCGAGAAATATTTATTCCTTCTTTTAATATAGCGAGTATTTATTGGTAGTCTGTTCTATACCAGGCACTCTTCCAGGTATTTGGGATTCAGCACTGAACTAGATAATACTGCTATCATATGGGCACTAAATATAGTCCATTGGAACCCATAGGTCTGGCTTCTGCCCTTTTGTATTTATGATTCTTTTTTTTTTTTTTTAAATTTAAGAGCATGCCACTTAGAATAATTTTTAGTTGGTCGAAATCAGTGTTTAAACTTTTCTTCCCCTTATGATTTATTCTGAATGTTGTTAGAAACTTGCAAGTGATAGGATTACCTCTTGCTTCTATTATTGATCAAGATTTTTTGCCTTACTTATTTCTAGCCTGAGAAAAATGGAGTGCACAAAGAAATAGTAAACAGGACTGAAGACGCTACTGTAGATGGAGTTTCTCTCATGTCTATAATTTTTAGATGCTTTGATACATGAATCCAGGATAAAACTTAAAATCATTCTGCATTCTTCTTTCTCAGTTACCATGTTTTAAGGAACTGCCAATTGCTCAGAGAGGATAAGCAGCCTGAATATATTTTTCTGTTTCTTTGCATATTGTGCATTGGTTCATGATCAAGTGGTGCCAGAAGGAAGTTCTTCATCCAGAGTCATAGCACATGTGGATCTGGATTGCTTTTACGCACAAGTAGAAATGATTTCAAATCCAGAACTGAAGGGCAAACCTTTAGGTAATTTTGGACATTAATAATAATTTTCGTTTTGTATTAGAGTATTATTCATTCATTTATGTTGATTATATTCTGATTGATTAACCATATTAAAGATTTTGGAAGCAATTCCTAAGGTCCTTTATAGACAGTAAACTTTCCTTCACTACAAGGTATAAGATTTACAAACCTTATTTAATAAATGGTGAATTTTATACAAGTAGAATAGCCAACTGAACATGTGAACAGAAAGACCATAATGAACTTTTAGTCTTGTTCTCAGTGGTTGAGACTTTATAATCTCTTATCTCAAAAAAAGCCATCACATTCTAATGGACATTTTCATTTATCCTCTCCAGTTTTGAAATTAACTCTTGGATTGTGTAACATGACAAAAAAGTTGGATTTTGAACAGGCCCTTAAATACTTAAGTGGTATAGAGTCTAAGTTTTCCCAAAAAAGTGCAAGAATCTTTTAAATAAAAGGCAAAGAGAAACTTTACGTTGAAGATTTACTTATTAATATGTTGGCTTATTTTAACATTTCTATTACATGTATATCTTAAATTGGAAAAGTCATTTAAATTTCCAAAGATTTCTTTTATGCATGTAGTAAGAATTTATCTTTTAGTATAAGTGTAAAGAGCAATTCTGGTTCACCTGCTGCTAACCTTTGTGCCTCGTTTGGTTTTGATAAATCCCAGTTCAGCACAGCCTAGTTGATTTACAAAAGAAGAGCAAAGGGAAGACTAGTTTTTGGTATGCCAGTATCAGTCTAGGATCTTTAAATTTCCCAGGGATGTCAAGGAGTTAGGATTAGAGGATGTAAGTTTTCTCCTAAAGGCATTTGTAATTAGTAGCAGTTTAACACAAGATGCTATGTAGATAATGCTCAATAAAAAAGTATTGTGTAACTAAGACACAGGAATAAATTATTATCTGGAAGTGAGAAATGTGATGTTGAAAGTTTCTGGGAGAAAGCAAAAGTAGTCTTTCAGTTATGCTCAACAAATGTGTGACTATTTAACTTGGGCTGGTGACATAGTGGTGAGTCCATATAATTTAATTCTGTATTAAAAGACTGGTTTTTTAGTTGAAGAAGTTACCAATCTTATTTTTTTATATAGTTCACTGATGAATCTTTAATTATGACTTTTGATGCAGAGATTCTATTTTGGGGCATAATCTGATATATCACAAATCTTTATGTGAAATAATGTTTCTTTTCCCTGTTTATAATATCAACATTTTAGAAACATATGTCTTACATTGGTGAAATGGACATGACCTTTTTTTTTCTACTACGTGTTTATATTTTACATATGTTAGATGAACATTACTTTTACAATGATAAACAAGTGGTCACCTTCTGTAAAGAGAAAATTAATTTCAGTAATCTTAAGTCACCACTAGTAAACTAGACTTTTTATAATCTGTAGATGATCATAATTTAATCATTATTGATAAGGAGGGGGCCTATTAATGATGGCTTGCTGTTTAATATTTTCTGCAAATTACTATGAAGAACAGTTCAATAATTACAACATTTATTGGGGGGAGATCTTTAATGATTATAGGTTAGCAATTGTAACAGAACTTTGTTTTATATTCATTGGAAAGTTTTTCTAGCAGAAACCAGTAATTAATTGTACTCAGTTATTTTGATCTGCTTTATTTTTCTGGTAAAACATGGCCTAGACTTTATATAGAGAGTTAATTTAATAGAAATTAATCTGGTTTGTATTCTCTGAAAAAAAAGTCCTAGAAGGATTTTATTTGTATTTTTTTTCCTGAAAACTCTAGAGAGTATACTGATTAATGATAATTTTTGTTAAATTTTACTTCATAGAACCTTGATGAGTGGAGGCTATCCTTTTTAAATGAATAGAACCTTTTATTCTTAATCAAAATAGATTGCATTACAGTTTAAAGTTATATTTGCTTTTTATAGGAGTTCAGCAGAAATATTTGGTGGTTACCTGCAACTATGAAGCTAGGAAACTTGGAGTTAAGAAACTTATGAATGTCAGAGATGCAAAAGAAAAATGTCCACAGCTGGTATTAGTTAATGGAGAAGACTTGACTCGCTACAGAGAGATGTCATATAAGGTTACAGGTATGTTGAGCATTAATTTGTATATAACTCATTCACTACATGAATCTTTTAATTAGTAAAATGCCATAAATCACTTTCTTTTTGCTAATAACTTTTATTTTGGGTCTTGCCTGCTTTTTTTTTTTTTTTAAAATTTTTTTTTTTTTTATTTATTCATTTGACAGATAGAGATCACAAGTAGGCAGAGAGACAGGCAGAGAGAGAGGAGGAAGCAGGCTCCCCGCGGAGCAGAGAGCCCGATACGGGGCTCGATCCCAGGACCCTGGGATCATGACCTGAGCCGAAGGCAGAGGCTTTAACCCACTGAGCCACCCAGGCGCCCCGTCTTGCCTGCTTTTAAAAACATTTTATGTAAGAGGATGACTTTATATGAGTAATGTTGACCAAAAAACATACAATTGGAAGACATTTGAAGTCTCTTGTGACTGGTATTTATATAAATGTGAGAAAAAATGTAAAACAAAATTTGGAAGCAAGAAAATGGAAAGATATAGAAAAGATACGTGAAAAAAACCATTTTTTTATTTTAAGTTTAAATAACAAATTTAAATGAATTAGGAAATATCTGTACTCTGATGCACTAATAGATGCACTAATAGTTAGGCTTCTGTAATGTTTGATTAACATAATTAAAAACTAGATTTGTTAAGAACTGTCAGCAGTTTACACACACACTGAATATGATAGTATAGATAAACTCTTCCCTATTAAGGTTTGGGTTTGAATCGAGTTTTAGTAAATTATAGGAAAAATGAAAACACATTTGTACTGGTATATTGCAAATATATATTTAATTTAAAAATGTGTAAGAATCAACTGTTTATCTTTTCTGCTGTTGTTTTTGCTTGTTCTTTTATAAATTGTAGCAGTTTTCAGATGAAAGTGTTAACTATAATATCCAAAGCCCTTACAAGTTTATAAGAAAAAGATACTTAAGAAAAATGGATGAGGGTGCCTGGGTGGCTCAGTGGGTTAAGCCGCTGCCTTCAGTTCAGGTCATGATCTCAGGGTCCTGGGACTGACTCCTGGCATTAGGCTCTCTGCTCAGCAGGGAGCCTGCTTCCCTCTCTCTCTGCCTGCCTGTCTGCCTACTTGTGATTTCTGTCAAATAAATAAATAAAATCTTTAAAAAAAAAAAGAAAAATGGATGAAAGGTATGAATAGGCAGTTGACAAAAAGAATAAACCCAATGTCCACAATTATGTGGAAAAAGAATACTCAAATTCATTAGTAGCTAAGGAAATTTGAATTAGTGAGGTATTATTTTATGTCCATCATACTTCAAAAAATAACGTGAAAGTAGAAACAAAATATTATACATTTACAAAAAGTAATATAGAAACATTTTTTGAAATTAGAGATACTATTTAACCCTGTGATACTACTGCTGGGAATTTATTCAATAGAAATAAAGTCATGAGAACATATGTACAAAAATATTTCTTGTAGCATGGTTCATAATTGGTAAAAATATGGAATAAAAACAAATGCTCATCAGGATGAGAATGGCTAAATTACGACTTCTCTATGATGGAAAATTAAATAGCAATTAAAAAGAATACATTGGTGTTATGCAGTTTGACTCAGAGATATGTATGCCTTGTTGAGTAAAAGGCAAGATGCAAAAACGTGTCATATTGTTCCATATGTGTAGAACAATGGCCCAAACCCCTCCCTTTACACATACATATATGTCTGTATATAAACAGGAAGGGAAACATGAAAGGATGTATACTAGGTTTTTAACATTAATTAACTTCTGGAGAGAACATGGCAATGGTGAGGGAGAAGGGGAAAGAAGGGATAGCCAAGCAAGGATAAGACTCTATTTCGAAAATATCACTTGTGCATCCATGCAAAATTGGATGTGTCTCAATATTAAGAAGTTAATCTTTTCTTTTTCTTGTTCATTCATCTTGAAAGAAGTTAATCTTTACACAGAAGAGGTTGTACATACAGTTGTGCCTCCTAGTGATCTTTCATATACTTCATATAGCTCTTCCTCATTCTTTTTAATGACTGCATAGTACTACATTGTATTTGATTCAATACACATTTAACCAATCATTTAGTGATATGAAAACAGTGTGTCCCACTTTATGCCTATTATCCCTACATAATTATTAAAGCACTCCTTTTCATTCAAAACGTGTCTTCTGTTGGATGATAAATTACATGGTTTCCCGACAGTGATGGATTTATTTGGCTGTTACCAATTTTTTGCTCTTCCAAATATATGCTTCAGTAGACATTTTCATATAGAAATTTGGGCATATTTTTATGAAGATATCCATGAGGTGAGTTCTTAGAGGTTAATTTATAGGTCAAACTGACTTTTCTTTGTGATTCAGTAATAATTGGAAGTTTTATTTATTTGAAAGAGACCGTGTGCACACACACTAGTTAGGGGAAGGGCAGGGGAAGAGGCAGACTAGACTCCCTGTTGAACGTGGAGTGTGACGCTGGATCCCAGAACCCTGAGGTCATGACTAGAACCGGAGACACACGCTTAATTACTGAGCCTCCCAGATGCCCCTCAAAGTTTTACATTTTATTGGTTTTGTCTTTTTAAGACTTGTGGAAAATACAGCTAGAGTATGTTACTACTTGTCTCTGCTTTCCTAGACTGACTGTATTCTTTGGAACCACTGTTTCAAGATCATAATGAACTACAAGCATTGATAGTTAATGTACTACAGGTATAGAAATTGTAGGTGTGGGAGATTGAGCTAAATATACTGGTATAAGCATCTGCCCAGGGAATGTCATTTTGGACTTATTTTGTTGCAAATATTGCCTTTACTCAAAATGTGGTATAGGAAAAAAATCCAGTTAATGGAGGACTTTATTTAAGATATTGTGGAAGTATGAATATATGTTAAACCTTTAGCATATTTGAAATATTTTTAAGCATAGACTAGTTAAATCCATTTTAGTTATGACTTTAGTTAACATCTGTGCACCAATATTATTCAATTTAGAGTTGTTGGAAGAATTTAGTCCAGTTGTTGAGAGACTCGGATTTGATGAAAATTTTGTGGATCTAACAGAAATGGTTGAGAAGAGACTACAGCAGCTTCAAAGTGATGAACTTTCAGCACTGACTGTGTCGGGTCATGTATATAATAATCAGTGTAAGTGGATTCTTACTCTGTTTAGTAACTCAAAATACTTACATCTTAATGTTCACTGAGTTCAATAAGTTCAATGAGTCGACTATCTTTCTGAAATTGTTATGGCTTTTGTTGGAGGTATAGCCTTATATCAGTGATCTGTCTCAAATGACTAAAATTAGGTGTTGGTATTCCATATTAAGTAGGGAGAAAGTAAGGTTTTGACGACATGTGTAGCTCAGTGCTCCATGCACTTTTCATTTCTGTGACACAGTTTGTGTGTAACCATTTTTAAGAGCCCCACCCCCTTAAGTCATTCTTCAGTTACAAGGGTTTCCTTAATGATACACTTTTTAGAATAATTTTTGCTTCTCCTAAAACTGTCTTTAAACAAAATTTTGAGGTAAACTAAATTTGTGTTTTGTTGCCTCTTTTGCTTGTTCCCTTCTGTTCCCCCCAGGCATCAAACATTCATGTTGCTGTCTGAGTTCCTGACTTACCCTGTGGAAGCTTTCCAGGCCTACCTGCCATCTTTTGCAAGCTGATATCCAATCAGTTTGATTATCTTTGCCAACTCTTAGCAAGAAAACAAAATAGTCCATTTCCTTCACATATTTAAGTATAAATGACTGATGGTATTTCCAGATATATTTGCCTTTGGAAATAACCTTCAGTAAGCCCCAGTGAATATCTGTTAGAGTTTAAAACATCTTGTAACTCTGTTGGTGACTTCCGTATCATATCACATGGAAGACATGCTACTCTGCTTTTGTATAAGACTTGCCCTGACCTTTCTGGCCTAGGTCTCAGCATATGTGTCCTCTTATCGCCCTTTTTTGAGAGCTGGTCATTGGTCTCCAGTCTACTTCTCTGCCATCCTGATACTAAAGAAGAAAACGGGTAGAACTACAGTTCTCTTCTAGAAGAGGACAGGAAGCTTTTCATATGTCTTCTGAACCTGCTCTTTTGTCACTTGTAAGGACTGAATAGAAGAAGTTTCTAAGTATGTTTCTTTATAATTTTCAAAGCAAATTCAGCATTTGTTAGAACATATTACAGAGAGCTAGGTTTTTTTATCCTAAAAAGAAAATGTCTGATTCTTCATGAATCCTTCCTCACAAGATTCTGTTAAAAAATTTTTCAGGGGTGCCTGGGTGGCTCCGTGGGTTGGGCTTCTCCTTTGGCTCAGGTCATGGTCTCAGGGTCCTGGGATTGAGCCCCTTATCCGGCTCTCTGCTCAGTGGGGAGCCTGCTTCCCCCCACCTCTCTCTGCCTGCCTCTCTGCCTCCTTGTGAAATAAATAAAATCTTTAAAAAAAATTTTTTTTCAAACCCAGAGAAATTTGATTGAGTAGTACAGTGAGAACACTTTTTATTCCCTTCCTTGTAGATACACCCATTGTTTTTTCCTACATTTACTTTATCTTGCTCCCTCTTTTGATTGGTTGGTTGATTGATCAGCCATTTAAAAGTAAATTGCATGACACTTCATCTGTAAATACTCCTGAGGATAAGGACAGTCTCCTATAATTCTAACACCATTTTCACCCCTAAGAAAATTTGTTTCTCTATATTTTCCCTACACTTTTCATAAAAGATGCCTTAAACTATGTACAGATTTGGAATTGTTTTCAGTAGCACAATCAGCTAGTATGTATAAAGTTTAGATTCAGATCTTTAAAGCTGTAATGTTAGCTCTCTTATTAGTGTAATACTTCTACTTTTATGCTTGCTTACAGTTAAACATGAGTAAAAGTTTTACTAATATCAGGAAATTTTTTATGAGATCAGTTTTCATAATCTGTTAATCATTAAGCACTCCCAGGATGCAGTCACTATCACAGGCACGTGGAATTCACTTGTGGAAGTTAGTTACTTTACAGGATTCCCATGAAGAATGAGAGAGATGAGTTAAGTGGGTGACGGTATGGTGGTGGGGTTGGGGGGACGGTTAGGTTTTTTTAAACTCATTTGTAAAAAAGAAAATTAAAATTTTTTTGGTGACTTCTAATGATATTGGCTGTTCTTATAGGTATAAACCTGCATGACATCACGCACATCAGACTGCTTGTTGGATCTCAGATTGCAGCAGAGATGCGGGAAGCCATGTGTAATCAACTGGGTCTCACTGGCTGTGCTGGCGTGGCTTCTAATAAGTTACTAGCAAAATTAGTTTCTGGTGTTTTTAAACCAAATCAACAAACAGTGTTACTGCCTCAGAGTTCTCAAGTTCTTATTCAGAGTTTGAGCCATGTAAAGGAAATGCCTGGTAAGACATTTATATTGAAAAATATACATTAGTTTTCTTGCATTTCTTTAATTTTAAAAATTAGAGATACAAGTTATTAATTCTTAGAGTCTGAATACTTAGCTCTTGGAGAAAACTCCAAACCCTGATGCGTTCTCTAGAAAGAATCTGGATTAGGAAATCTATGGAAATACTTTTCTTTCTTTCTTTTTTTTTATAATTTTTTATTTTTTATTAACATATAATGTATTATTAGCCCCAGGGGTACAGCTCTGTGAATCGCCAGGTTTACACACTTCACAGCACTCACCATAGCATATACCCTCCCCAATGTCCGTCACCTAACCACCCTCTCCCTACCCCTCTCCCTCCAGCAACCCTCAGTTTGTTTTGTGAGATCAAGCATATCTTATGGTTTGTCTCCCTCCCGAGCCCATCTTGTTTCATTTTTTCCCTCCCTACCCCCAAACCCCCCATGTTGCCTCTCAAATTCCTCATATCAGGGAGATCATATGATAATTGTCTTTCTCTGATTGACTTATTTGCTCAGTGTAATACCCTCTAGTTCCATCCACATCATGAAAGTACTTTTCTAGTTTCACTTACTTTCTGTATAGTTTGAATATGATCGTGAAAGTTATAACCTGGAATCACGTTCTTTTATTTCCAGTCCCTGCTTCATATTCTTACACCGCACACTGCATCCAGAGATGGGCATTGGCCTTTTTACTAACTCTACTTTGGGATTATATAGAAAATATTAGAGCTACGAGGGACCTTCCAAAGCAGTTAGGCCAAGTTCTTATTTTAAAGATGAGGAAACTAGTTTTCTCGAGGGGAGTAGTGACTAATTCAGGTCATGGGACAAATTTTTGTCTTTGAAGATCAAATATGGTTTTATAGACAATAAGGGATATGTTAAGCTTCATTTCTATGGCATTGCTGGGGAATAAGAGATTAGAATTCTGGATAAGTGAATTTCTAAGTCAGCTGAACCTTTAGATGTCATAACTTTGTATTTGTTTTTTAAGATTTTATTTATTTATTTGACAGATCACAAGTAGGCAGAGAGAGAGGGAGGGAAGCAGGCTCCCCGCTGAGCAGAAAGCCTGATGTGGGACTTGATCCCAGAATGCTGAGATCATGACCTGAGCCAAAGGCAGCAGCTTAACCCACTGAGCCACCCAGGCACCCATAACTTCTTATTTTTAACTCATGTTTGTGTGATTACAAAATGTTTTGTACACTGCCTTGCCTTCATTAATACAATATAAGTGTAGAAGTTTTCTGGATGACTCTGAGTCTCTGTTCTGAAGACAGTCACTATGTCAGGTTGTAATAAATTGAGGACTGTCTACTGATCATATAACGTTACTACTTGGCTTTACTTTTTGAGTTCTTGTATTTCTTTATTTATTTATAGGTTTTCTCTTAGGAGTAGGGTTATGGCACCTCTCTTTTATTTCTGCTATGAAAATAACTGATACTACTTTAGTAATTGCCCTCCCCAGGGTGGCTCAGTTAAGCCTCTGGCTCTTGATTTTCAGCTCAGGTCATGATCTTAGGGTCATGAGATCGAGCCCCGCATGGGGCTCCATGCTCAGCATGGAGTCTACTTGAGATTCTCATCCTCTCTCCTTCTGCCTTTCCTGCTAGTGTTCTTTTTCTCTCTCTCAAATAAATAAATAAATAAATAAATAAATAAATAAATCTTTAAAAAAAATTTCTCCTCCAAATCCATTGCCTTTGATTTACTTCTTTTACTGTGCAGGGAAATCAAAATACTATAGAATTCATTTTTTTTTTTTTAATGAGAACAATAAGGGGGTACCAAATTCCCTCAGCATCCCAGGTAAGGTGATAAAGTATAACTGAGTTTTAGTGCAAGAACTTTGGTAGTTTTGCTAATGGGTAGATTTTTTTCCTTTACTTTCTGGCTCTTATATTTGGGATAGTAAATATTGCCAGAGAAGACTTGTGGATAAATGTGTGATATTATGTGTAGGAATCAGGTCAGCTGATTAGCACATGCTAATTAATTTTGTTGCTGTAATGACAGTCTCTCTTTGCATGAATCGTAACTATTATTCTTGAATACTTCCAAAGTATTATGTAACAGGTGGTTATTCTTGAATACTTCCAAAGTGTTATGTAACAGGTGGTAAACATTTCATTTTATCAAGACAGCATGTATTGGTTGTCTCCATATTCATCGTGTTGTACTAGGGTTGTGAGGTTTTCAAAGTGGTTCATTTAAGAGGCCCTGAGCAGAAGGAGGACAGCCTAATTTTCAGTAAAATTTAATCCTAGCAAAATATTCATTATGGAATTTAAAGATGTGTTCAGTATATACTGTAGTAGCTTTATCTTAAGGAGAAAAACTACTGTAATACCATATTTCTTTTTGTCTAGGTATTGGTTATAAAACTGCCAAACGTCTTGAAGCACTGGGTATCAGTAGTGTGCATGATCTTCAAACCTTTTCACCCAAAATACTAGAAAAGGAGTTAGGAATTTCAGTTGCTCAGCGTATCCAGAAGCTCAGTTTTGGAGAGGATACTTCTCCTGTGACGCCCTCAGGACCACCTCAGGTATAAGATAATGATACTTATTTTAATTGAATACTGTTTTTCATACTTGAGATAAAGATTTCTGGTTTTAGTACTATGTTCTTACTAATTTGCTTACTGGGTTAGTATATGATCTCTTTCCTATGAGAAGGTTAATTTATTAAGTTAGTAAAATTTTTTTAAGTAGGCTCCCTGCTGGAGCTTGAACTCATGACCCTAAAATCAAGACCTGAGCTGAAATCAAGAGTTGGATGCTTAACTGACCAAGCCACCCAGCTGCCCCAAGATTAGTAAATATTTTTAAATTTAATCTAAGAATTAATATTTCTGTCTCAAGTTGGCTACCTTGATTAAATATCACTTAATTTTAACAACCTATATTGCATACTTTTGGCAAAATATTTTCATTTTTAAGAAATCTTATTTTCCGATTAGTCTAATGATTTAGGAAATGGAGACAGTATAATCACCTAGTTAACACTGATTTTTTTTTCCTATGTCATAGGCACTTTACTAAAGTGTTTTATGTACCTTAGTCCATTTAATATTTATAACAAAGCTTCAAGGTAGATAGTATTATTATTTGTTCATACCCTTTTTCCTCTCTCCCTTCCTTTTTTTAAAGATGAGGATACTGTACTTTAGAAAGGTTAAATAAAATGTCCAAGGTTAAACTCAATCTCAAGTGCTAGGAGATTAAGAGCCTCACTGTAATTGTAGAATAAAGCTTAGAGTTGGTGCTAGAGCTTTATAATTTTCTTGACTTTCTAGTGGAGTACAGTAACTTGGAGAAAAAAAGAGTTATTATAAAAGTGAACTAAATGGCTCAAATTAAGCATGAGAGGGAAGTTAGTAAAGAATGTGCTGAATATATATGTTAGTAAAAATAAGTAATAATAATAAAAAAAAGAGGAGCACCTGGGTGGCACAGTGCCTTCAACTCAGGTCATGATCCCAGGGTCCCAGGATGGAGCCCCATGTTGGGCTCCCTGCTCACTGGGAAGTCTGCTTCTCCCAATTCCCCTCCCTGTTCATGCTTGCTCTCAAATAAATAAATAAAAAAAAAAAATGTCCTAAATATTTGGCATGCATCCACATAATTGGATATGCTTATTTAGGTTTACAATAATCCCTATTTGTGCTTCTCTGGTAGTCCTTTAGTGAAGAAGATTCATTTAAAAAATGTTCATCAGAAGTCGAAGCTAAAAATAAGATTGAAGAACTACTTGCCAGTCTTTTGAACAGGTGATTTTCCATTTTGCCATATCATTCTATATATTCTGTACAAAGTATATGGAAAATACAGTTGATATTCTGTCTTGGAACTTATACATTAACTGGAGACTGAACAGTGTAAAGAGAGATCATTTATCTTTGAATTTCTCTACATTATAAACTATTGCAAAGATAGTAACAGGCGCCCTTAACTAAATTTAATTCATTTGTTTCCGTTAGTCTTGATTTTAGTAACACTGTGGTTATACTGTGGTTCTTAAGGTGCCTGTAGTTACTTAAGAGGGTTTTATGGGTACCTTGCATCTCGACACCTATAAGAGCACCAGTGATGGAGAAAGCAGAAGAACCCTCATTATCTCCTTTGCCTCAGACTATGTGAAAGAAAATGGACTCAGACAAAAAAATAGCTCAGTGGGGCTATGTGTGAGCAGTCAGTGTGTGGTGAGTGCAGGGCACTGGTCTGTAAGTTTGCAGGGATTATGAGTGTATGAATAGAACAGCATAAACGAAACAAGATGTTTAGTTTTCTGATGCTCCTTTACTATCATATATCTATTTCTCAGTGTTCCTAGAAGAATATTCTCTCTTTTCCTCCCATCTCTTTGATTTCTCAAAGTGTCAGGGGTCTAGCAGTTTTGAGTAGCTATGCTTCTGTAAATGAGGGTAGGAGAGCTAACTATGCCTGAGGAAAAGATTTCTAGATGACTCTGAATCTCAGTAAACTGGTGGGGTAAAATTTCCTACAGCTTTGGTCTCACATGCTATGTGGTTCTCATGTCTTGAGTCGAGCTGTGCAGCTCATCGCTTGCTGCATGCAACTGGGGCTGCTGAATGACCCCGCTCCAGTGATGCAGTGCAGGCCGGGCCTGTGAGTGTGCTTCTGAAACTGGGTCATCTGCTCTGCTTCAGCTAAACGTGAGACGACTGTGAAATGCCTGGCCATTGAAAAGAGTTCTGCATGTAGAGAAACCACAATTTTCTAGGCTCTCATATTTGAAGCATCAACTCAGAGATGAGACTAGGTGCTCTAAACCTGTAAATTACCAACTATGAGCCATTTATCCTTACCTCTGCTTTCTACTCCCTTTCTACACCATGGCCCCTGATTACGGTGACTGAGGTATAATACCATCGAAGTTACTGGCAAAAAAATAATTGTGTTTGTGTGAATGTATTTGCCCTCTAGTTTAAGCTTGCTTAGAATATAACCTTTTCCTAATATGTCTTTATTAGTTATAGGAACCAAGTAACACTCTTTAAATTGTATAATGACTTAAGAGAAAAAGTTTAACTGGAAGATATTTAAACTAGTAACGTGTTTACAGGATATCACACATTATGTAAGATATTTTGTTATCTTAGTAAGGCAGCAATCAAGATGTTTTGTAATAAAGCAGCAAAGAAAAATTACTTATTATGGAAAATCTAAATTTTCCAGTTCAGAATCTTCAATTTGAGTGTGTTTAACAAGGTACAATATTTGTATTTTGTTTGTGATTTTTTTTTTAATGCATTGCCATACATATAAGAAGGATAATATATTTTTTTAAGATTTTAATTATTTATTTGAGAGAGAGAGAGAGAATGAGAGGCAGAGAGCATGAGAGGAGACAGGTCAGCTGGAGATAAGCAGACTGTCCCGCTGAGCAGGGAGCCCCACATGGGACTCAATCCCGGGACTCTAGGATCATGACCTGAGCCGAAGGCAGTCACTTAACCAACTGAGCCACTCAGGTGCCTGGGTGGAAAATACTATTTTTAAGGACATTTATTTTAGTAATTAGATTTTCTGCTTCTTAAGTGAATTTCCTATCTCATTAAAACTTTTCAACACTAAAATTAAGACCATTTGAATGGAACACATTTTTAGATGCATGTATAGGTACTACTTAAATATTATATGTGTTGATCTTTTAAGTTATTGCTCTTATTTGCCATATAATGGTGATATTACTGTTCCTTGGGTCTATTCAGGGAGTGCTCTTTGACAAAAGTTATCTCATTTAAAATTTTTTTCTTTTTGTAATGTTTTTTTACCCTGTGTAAAAAAAAAAAAAAATCTGTCATTTCTCATGTATTTGCCTTCACCAGTGAATAAATGCGTTAGTTTCTTAATTTCCTGCTGATTTTAATAAGTTGCTTTTAATTTTTTGTGACTTTGGATTGTAAAATGGTTTGTTACAATTGTATCTTATTTCTCTTCTTTTCCTGATTGCACTCAATTCTGAATGAGTCCTGAGAGCCTTACACTTAAGATTTTATAGCTTTGGTGCATAGATGTGGTGAAATTTGTTTGGGCTATTTAGAAACTTGTATTGCTTACTGCCTAGGTATCAACCATATTTATAATTCTTTCAGTTACTAAATCTGATATCTCTAGAGATTAAAAAACATCTTAGGTAATACTTTTCTAATTCCCTGTTTCTGCTTGCTCTTTCCTTTTAGAGTATGCCAAGATGGAAGGAAGCCACATACAATCAGATTAACAATCCGTCGGTATTCATCTGAGAATCATTGTAGCCGTGAGAGTCGTCAGTGCCCTATTCCATCGCATGTAATTCAGAAGTTAGGGACAGGTATGGGCTAATTTTCTAATAATTTAATTGCAGGTTGAGCTCCTAAAAAAACAAACTTTGTATTAGAATTATGATCCAAAGATGGAGAGTCTTCATAGGGAGTTAGGAACTATTAAGTACCTTCGTTCTATCAGGAATTTTTACAGGAAAACTTTTTTGTTGTTTTTAAATAGATAATAAAAATAAAAATGCAGTTAACAGGGTTTCCCAAGTTCAGAGAAGATAAAATTATGATAATGTGTTATATTATCACACAAGATAAGTTACCTTGTTATCAAGATAACAAGAAGTTATAACAGGATAACTTCTTTATGGACACTTAAATTGTTTCCATTTTTTGCCTCTTATGAAAAACAGTGCTATGAGTATTTGCATGCAAGTCATTGGGCAGATATATGTTTTTGTTTATCTTGAATAGATTACCAAGAGTGGAATTGCTGGGTTATATGGTAAGTTGAACTTTAAGAAACTGCAGTACTTTTTCCCAAAATGGGTATACGATTTCCATTCTTACCAAGAATGTATGAGGGTTCCAGGCTTTCACATTCTCTCTCACATTTAGTATTGTCAGTTTACTTTATTATAGTCATTCTTGTGGCCTTGTAGTCGTATTGCATTGTAGTGGTATTTCATTTTTCTCTTTTATGGATAATGCTTTTGGTGCCCTATCTAAAAATTCTTTGCCTAACCCAGAGGTTACAGATATTTCCTCCTGTGTTTTCTTTTGGAAATTTATAGTTTTAAGCTTTACACTTAGATCTACTTTGAGTAAATTTTTTAGTATGGTGTAATATAAGAGGCTTGTTCATTCTTTTGTATGTGGATATCCAGTTGTTCGAACAGAATTTGTTAAACAGATTATTCTTTCTTGAATTGTCATGGCACCTTTGTCAAAAACTAATTGACTCTAAAGAAGTTTATTTCTTGGTTTTCTTATTTTATTGATTTATGTGGTTATTGTTATACCAGTTCCACCCTATCTGATACTTTGTTATAAGTTTTGAAATTAAATAGTGTAAATTCTTCAGCTTTGTTCTATTTTGAAATTGTTTTGGCTGTTCAGGGTCCTGGGCTTTTGTGGAAAGATTTTAAAATGGGAAATTGATTTTTTTTTAATTTATTGTAAGTTTATTCAGACTTTCTATTTATTTTGAGTCAGTTTTGGTAACTTTTATCTTCCAGGAATGTATCCATTTCATTCGAGTTGTCTAGTTTGTTGGCATGAAGTTGTCAATATTCCCGTATTATCTGTCTAATTTTTGTAGGATCTATAGTGATGTCTCTTCTTTCATTCCTGATTTTGCTGTTGCATGTATTCTCCTTTTTTCTTTATCATTCTAGTAGAGGTTTATCTGAGTGAGACCTCACTCAAAGGTTTAATTGATCTTCTTCTAAGATCCAACTTTTGTGTCATTGATTTCTCTGTTGTTTTTCTACTTTCTATTTAACTTATTTCTGCCCTGTTTTGCCTTTCTGCTTGTGTTAGTTTAATTTGCCTTCTTCCCTCTGGTTTCTTAAGATGGAAGCTTACATTATTAGTTTTATACTTACCTGATTTTCTAATAATTCAAGTTTAAGTTTTATATTTCCTTTTAGTGCTTTAGCTGCATTCCATAACATTTGTTATATTTCCTTTTCATTAAGGTCAAAATTGTTTCTAATATCCCTGGTGATTTCTTCTTTGACCCCTAAGCTTATTTAGAAATTTGTTGTTTAGGGAGCCTAGGTGGCTCAGTGGGTTAAGCTGCTGCCTTCGGCTCAGGTCATGATCTCAGGGTCCTGGGATCAAGTCCCACATCGGGCTCTCTGCTCAGCGAGAAGCCTGCTTCCCTCTCTCTTTATCTCTCTCTGCCTGCCTCTCCATCTACTTGTGCTCTCTCTGTCAAATAAATAAATAAAATCTTTAAAAAAAAAAAAAGAAATTTGTTGTTTAGTTTCCAAATATTTGATGATTTCCCAAATTTCATTCTGTTGTTGATTTCTGCTTTAATTTCATGTTGATCATAGAACATATTTTGAGGAATTTTGGCCTGTCTAGATTTGTTGAAAGTAATTTTATTACCTAGCACATGGTCTATCCTAGAAAATGCATCATTTATGTTTGAAAAGAAAAATTGAGCATCACTATCAAACCGTTCTACCTAACTAAAATTTTTGGAAGACTCCACCAAGATAACATTTTTGAGTGGCAATTTGTTTGTGTGTAGAATTCTTGGCTGTTTCTCTTTCCATAGTTTTAATGTACGATTCTGTTATCTTCCAGTTTCCATTTTTTTGGGGGGGGGGGTCCATTATTTTTTGACGAGGAGTCAGCTCTTAATAGTTTTATCAATCTCCTTCCAATCGGGAGAGAATAACCACACAAAAATTTGAATAGAGAAAGTTTCACAGAATTATTAAACTGTATTAGGGAAGTGACTATAAAGGTATAAAGAAGACTCTTTAGAGGTATTCAAGGGCTGTGGAAAAGTATCTGAAGAAGGACAAACTTAAAAAAGAGAGTCCCTCTACCCATTAAGGAGAGGGTATGGTTATAGAACATTTGATGGTGGAGAAATCCATTGAATTACCTGGCCCAGAGATGATCCATAGTTATTAGACAAAGAGAAAACCATCCTTTGATCTGTGGATGAGCTGAGGCTGGTTGGTGGGCACACAGAAGGAGTTGGGATGTTGGGAACTTGCTCATTGGTAAGGCAGTGAATGATTTGGAGCATTCAGTGTTTGTGTTAGGAGGATTTTTGTTAATAGCCCTTTAGAATGCAGGCAAGCTGAGGCTGGGTGGGTGGTTGTGGTGAAGGCATCTGTATTCAGCTAGTACAAAGGCGGAAAGTATGGTGCCTGCATAGGAAGACCTGGAGGAAACAACCCTCTGAGATAGAGGCAAGTCATTCGGTAGGTGTGCAGAATGAGTGGAGGCACTGCCGTGGTATGTACGGCATTTGAGTTGGTAGTGCCATGGTACATAGTCACTGAGCTCAGGCTGGGGTTTGAGGTTGCTGAGGGACTGAGTGTTCCACATGTGTGTGATGGAAAGCACTGTTAGGTGTCCCCACACATATGTACTACAAATAAACCATGTAATGGGAGAAAGAAAAATTAAATGACCGTACATTGGAAATTAGTGGAACCAGGTTCCTGGAACTAGGAAGAGAAAGGTGGTTTCTCTTCCTGGTCTTCCAGTCTTCTCTAATGACAAGGTGTAATGTCATATTCAATGTGAAAAATTTTAGAGTCTAGTGCATTATCACAGAGCAGGTACTGATGGGTGAATTTGGAGCTGAGTTGTACTGCACTATATTGATAGTTGTATTGTTTGTATTGTTATTCTCCTTTATGTGATGAGTCATTTGTCTCTTTGTCTTTTATCAATTTGACCGTGATGTGTTTTCTTCTTGTGGGCTTTTTTTTTTCCCCTTTTCCTTTTCTAACTTCTTTGAACTTAAGCTGCAGAATCTACCTCCCCTGTGATGTGTGGCCTCTGATTTCTTTACTTAGCTTTCCTTTCTTTTCTTAATTTTAATTTAAATTTTTTATTTTGGCTTCCTAGGTTACCTCTATGTCTGCATAGTTTAGTGGTTAGCCAATAACTGGTCAAAGCTTTTGGTCAGATGCAAGCGCCTGAAAGGCTTATGCCTTCTGTAAATGGATAAGTGCATGGGTTGGAGAGTGCTTTCAAAATTTAGGCCATTTTCAACTCTGCCTTGGCTTTTATTTTCTGTAGCCTTCTTGCATCTTCCATGTATGCTTGTTGCCATTTCCGCCAGTGATGTGTAGAGAACTTGGGCCCTTTCTCCCCTCCCCTCCATGTGCATGCAGTCTCCCAGTCAGCTGGGGTTGTGAGGAGAGCTTATCCAGTCCCTCTGTGGTTCTCTCATTTCTACATCTCCTGGTTAAATTTATGGCTCGTCCACTGATTTTTCACTCAACTCCAGCCACAATTGCAACCTCAGGCTAGAGAGAGCTGTGCGATTTCCCCTGTTGTTTCCTGAAGTTTATTCACTTTACTGGAAGTACTGCTGGGAATGGGCTTTTGCCCTCTGCCTCAAATCAAATCTGCCCTTTCTGGCAGCAAAGCTACTGGCTCTCATAGCCAGCCTCACCGTGGCAGGACTACTGCTAGCGGAAGATACAAACAACCCCAGCCAGTAAGGCTGCAGTTTCCTCCTTTCTTATCTAAGTTCTACGGGCTTTTATTTATTTTATTTTATTTTTTAGATTTTTATTTATTTATTTGTCGGGTGGGTGGAGACAGCACAAGCAGGGGGAGCAGCAGGCTGAAGGAGAAACAGACTCCCCACTGAGCAAGGAGCCCGATGTAGGACTCAAACTCAGGTCTCTGGGATCATGCCCTGAGCAGAAGGCAGACAATTACCCAACTGAGCCACCCAGGCATCCTTCTACTAGCTATTATAAATCGGTGCTTCTCAGTTTATTTGCTTTTGGCCCACTTTCGTATCCTCAGTTTTGTCCAGTTTTATTATAGTTTTATGGGGAAAGCTTACTCCCATAACCGGAAGTCCCATATTTCAAATCATTTGAAAACTTTAACTCATTTGGCATTTAGTATTAGTGTTGAGATAATCCCAGGGTGGTATATAATGTCGGGCTGTCCCAGTGATATCTGTTTAGGATTTTAACTTCTTAATCTAAACAATATGAATTAGATTAAGCTTTTAATATAAATTATGATATAATGTGCTTATAGTCTTCTCAAACATTTTGTTTAGGAAATTGCGATGTGATGACCCCAATGGTTGATATACTTATGAAACTTTTTCGAAATATGGTGAATGTGAAGATGCCATTTCATCTTACCCTTTTAAGTGTGTGCCTCTGCAACCTTAAAGTATTAAATACTGCTAAGAAAGGGACTATTGATTATTATTTAACACCATCATTATCAACAACTTCACGGTCTGGCAAGCGCAGTTTTGTAAGTACACTCTTGTTGAATTTGTGTGGTTAAATTACAAATCTAAGTTTCTGTTCCATTGATACAATTTAGAGATTCTTTTGGATGATATTATTTGAATGCCTTACTTGTGTATAGTACCTCTCATATTATGGTTGCTAGCCATAAGTGTACTGTACTGTGATCTGAAAAGAAAACAAAAGAATCACTGGATAAAAGAGAAAACTGTTATGGAGGTTCCTTGTTTTGTTAAAACAAGTGTTAAAATATTTTTTAGCAACAAAAATATGACTAGCTAATAAGTATGAAAATATTTCTAGATACCAGAAATAAAATCTTTGTCTATTAATTTATATGTAAGCTACCAGCATTCCCCCAATGTTTTTGTTAAAGTATTTAACTTTTCTTGGCTTTGAAATTACATTGAATTTTGATAGCAAGATTGATGTAGTATGACTACTCATTCTACAATTGTGGAAATTAAGAGTGTGGCAGTAGAGAAACAGAGGCCAGTCATATTTTCCAGTGACTAAAATAAAACCTTATATACGTGGCCATTTAGCAAATGTCTAGTAAATATGGGATGCTTTAAAAAATAATCATATTTTACTGAATTGTGCTTGCCTACAATTAACTCTTAATTACAATATTTTTATTATTTTCTTTGTTTTAATGTTTGATCAGTATAATTTCAGTAGTATTTTCATTTACATTTCAGTTTAAAATGAGAACAGAATACTGTTACAGAAGTAGTGAATCAGGACCCTCTTCAAAGTACTTTTTCCTGTGGCCCTTTTTATTCCCTTTATTAACTGAAATTTAAAAAGGAGTTTACTTTTTGCCTTTAATTTATAGTGGTATTAGTGAGGTAAACATAAGCAAAAGTACCTTGTACAGGTCTGGCATACAGTATATATAGTGTCCCAAATCTCTTTTCCTTTTACTTTTTTTTCAGTTACTGTTGTGTTGATGTTTCCTGAGTTATATTTGATTGTGTATACATTTTCCTGGTGCTTAAAACCAGAGGGAAAATTTAAGTGAAAAATTTACGTAGAAAAATTATGAAAATTAGAACTGAAAGTACCTTTAAATTTTTATTTTATGTAAATATAAACAGTGTTATAGCTTCATATTGATGTTGGATTTTACCATAGAAATATTTTTTTTGTCTGTTAACTGTTACACTTCAGAATAAGGATTTTGAGAAAACCAGCCCTTGATGATCTATGCATATATATTTTTTAGATACTCATAGGCGAATCATTTACTTTTCTAGGCTACCTTTCCTTTATTTACAGAATTGTGAATTTGAAAACACCGTTGTTAAGGTGCTTTCCAGGTTTCCAAACAAATAACTATCTTCTGGCTCAATGCTATCTAGGAAGGAAACCTCTCCCTAGAATAGTGACTAAAGATGCACACAATAGTGTGACTAATTTTGGTGGATTTATTATCTCTAGTAGTTTGGAACTGGCCAAAAGGAATGAAATTACTGAGTAGATTAGAAACATGTTAGTCAGAAAATGGCTATAGTACTCTTCAGCGGCATGAATATTTCAAAGATATCAGATATCTTAATTACTCTGTTATTCTTGTGTTCTAGAAAATGAAAGATAGTCATATGGAGGATTTTTCCAAAGACAAAGAAACAAATTGGAATTTTCTACCATCAGGAAGAATTGAAAGTACAAGAACTGGGGAGGCTCCACTAGATCCTAATTTTTCCAAAGAAAAAGACAGTGATGAATCCCCACTCTGCTCACTTCCCGAAGGTATTGACCAAGAAGTCTTTAAGCAGCTTCCAGTAGATATTCAAGAAGAAATCCTTTCTGGAAAATCTGGAGAAAAAGTTCAAGGCAAAGGAAGCTTAAGTTGTCCATTACATGCCTCTAGAGGAGTATTATCTTTCTTTTCTACCAAACAAATGCAAGGTAGTCCCTTAAATCCTACAGATCATTTATCCAGTAGTAAACAGATATCTGTATCTCCCTGTGAACCAGGAACATCAGGTTTAAATAGCAGTAGTTCCTCTTCTCCATGTAGCCAAAAGGATTATTCACATTATATAGACAGTAGATTAAAAGATGAACAAATGAGTCAAGGACCTAAAGAATCTCAAGGATTTCATTTTTCAAATACAAACCCTGCTGTATCTATTTTCCATTCATTTCCAAATTTGCAGAGTGAGCAACTATTCTCCAAAAACCGCACTACAGATAGCCATAAGGAATCAGTAGTGACAGTCTCTCATCATGAAAGACTTACAGAAAATAAAGAGCAAGATTCTAGTGATGAGAAAATTACCTTTCCTTCTGACATTGATCCTGAAGTTTTCTACGAACTACCAGAAGAGGTACAAAAAGAGCTGTTAGCAGACTGGAAGAGAGCAGCATCAGATTTCTCCATTGTACATAAATAAGCATGTTCAGAAAAAAGGTCTAGAAAGCAAAGGAAAGGCCATTGTTCTCAGATTTAGCAGTTTATTAAGCTCCTCTAAATTAAACACTAATAGATATTCAATAATGTAGAAATCCAATATATAATGTTCTAGATAAAAGCAAGTGTAGTTATGGGAAGTAAATTCTGGCACAAAGCATAAAAATACTCATACCAAGAAATAATGTAAAATTATCCTCTTATTTCTAAAGTTATTTTATATTGCTTTTCAATAAAAAGAATATCATGGCTAGTACATTTCCCATAAATGGGGAGAGGGGAAGATACATAACACCTGTGTGTAGAAACAAATAGACTAGCCAAATCATTGCTATGACATAGCAAAGAATCGTTTTTTTTTCTGTGAAATATGGAATGTCTCAAGAAATTCAGCCCATTAGGAAATTTCCAAGTAAGAAATTCTGCCGCCAGCTACTAAAAACACAGATCTTGTTGAAGTACTGTGTACCATTTAATATGCTTTTTAAAAAATACCAAAGCAGTGTATGTCCTATTAATGCTTTTGAGTACACCAGAGCCTACTGCAGTGCCTCGTACATGGAAAGCACTCCGCAATTATTGAATGAATGGTGTGGCAGGGGCCAGGTGGGAGGTTGGGCAGGGGAGTGTACATGTTGTAGAGAACTAGAAGGAACTCTCCATCCAGGTAGATTAAGGGAAGGATGGACACTAGAAAGGCAATGTGATAGGTTTTGTAAGAAGGCTGGGTAATTGGGTGCCCGGGCGGCTCAGTGGGTTAAGCGGCTGCCTGCGGCTCAGGGCATGGTCCCAGAGTCCTCAGCTCAAACCCTGCATCGGGCTCTTTGCTCAGCAGAGAGCCTGCTTCTCCCTGCTGCTCTGCCTACTTGTGCTCTGTCTCTGTCAAATAAATAAATATATATATTTTAAAAAGATGCTGGATAATGGGAAAAGTCCATTTCCTTCTGGCTAGTCTGTGTAGGGTTTTTAAGTAATGATTAGATGTTTTTGTATCTTCTTATTTTTGGAGATCAGATTAAGGGTATCATATCCACAACAAATATACAAAATTACTACATCGATAGGTGTTCTCTTTTTCCCATTGTTAATTGCCTTCCCCTTTTGCCTGCAAGGTTAAAAATTGGGTATAACATTGTGGACATCTTACAATTTTTAAGATGTAAATTTCTAGAACACATCAAAGTATACCGCAGTACTGATTCAGAAGAGTCCTGTTCTCGAGTTTATAACCTTTGCAGATACAATCTAAAGAAAAGGTAATAAAAATAAAGTATACAAATGTGAATAAAGAGTAATGGAAAGGGGCTTCTGGGTGGCTCTGTGGGTTAAATTAAAGCCTCTGCCTTCGGCTCAGGTTATGATCCTGGGGTCCTGGGATTGAGCCCTGCATCAGGCTCCCTGGAGCGTGCTCCCGGCCCCCCTCTCTGCCTGCCTCTCTTCCTACTTGTGATCTCTGTCTGTCAAATAAATAAATAAAATCTTAAAAAAAAAAAAAAAAAGTAATGAAAAGATGCTTTCTTTTAGGTAAGAAGTTTTAACTTAGTTTTAGATTTCTTGAAATTTTCAATTTCCTAACCAAGGATTTTAACAGGGAGTTTGGGGTTATCAAAATAATAACTTAGAACAAGAACATCAAAACTTATTCATATGCAAATATTTAGTACCCTGGATCAAGGAGTATGGAATTTTCTACAGGTAGTATACTGGTAAGGTTGTTAAACTGGTAAAAAGGATATATTATTTTTTTTAGATAATACATTTAAAAAAAATTTCTAATAATCCTTGTATTATTTCAGCCAGAAATTATTAAACAGCTAGAAAGGTTTAAAAAAAAAAGGTAAGAGTTAAACAGTTTTGGCCAGTTTAAAAAGGGAATAAAATAGTAGTTAAAAGTACATTTTTTGAAGTGAGCGTGCAGTGGGTATTATCACAGCCTTGTTACTTACTCTGTGGCTTTAACTTAGCCTTTCAACATCTTCGTGCCTCTGCACACTGACTTTTTAGTCTATCTTTATTTCCATATCATTTTAATCCTTGTTTTTTTTTTTTTCCTATGGTGTTCTGCAGATTTACTATAATGTTTGCAGATGTGTATTTCCTTTTTATCCTCAGTATATGCTGGCTCCTGTTTCTTTCAATTCATGTTAATTCTGTAAAACATTTGGCCACTAGGATTGCACAAATGATGGACTTCTTATTTCATCCTTCCTGTCCCTTAATCTCACAGTTTTTGTCATCTTGTTTATCTGCTGCATTTTGGCTAATTTCATCAGCTCTCTCATTCATTAGCTTGTTTTTCAGCATTATCTGGTCTACTGTTTAAAATACTAATGATGGTTTTAATTTTAATAATTATATTTTTCATCTGATTCTTTTTCTAATCTTCCCATTTATTCATAATAGCCTTTTATAAGTCTTTCTAATTTTTAAAAACTCATAACTACTTTATATTCTATTTTTGATAATTTCAATATTTTAAATCTTTTATAAGTCTAAGTTTTTGGATATTGCTGTGTACCCGTTGATTAGCCTGTTTCCTTGAGTGTGTGGCCGAGCTTAGTCTGTGGGAAGATGAAGGACCAAAACTGTGCATGCTTCCCTCCAGATAGGATTTGCATTTGCTTCCAGTGAGTCAGCACGAACCCATTTGGTATCACTGTAGCCCCTGAAGGTCCTTGCTGAATGCAGTTGTCTTAGTTTGTCTTATTTTCAGCTCCCCGACCTTGCTACTGTCCTAAGGTTTTGTCTCCAAAGGTTTATTGCAGGCATTTCTGTCAGGGTGAACCCCACCTTTCAAGTTTGCTTTTTGCCTGATGCTTCCTGTTCCTTTCCTGCTTTTGTTTCAGCTCCGTTTTTTTCCTCCGTGATTGTAGGGGATTGGGGTCTGGAGATTTCCCTTATATAGTTCCACCAACAATGAATTAAAAAGTCTGTTTTCTCTGGAATCTAGTATTTTGTATTGAAGGAACTCTTAAGAGTATTTGTCCCACCATAGTGCAGAAGTGCAAATCTATTTGGATTTATTTTTTCCATATTATTTGTGCTTTCTGTTTTTCTCTTTTTCTATGCTATGATTCTTTCCCACCCTTTTTCTCATCTTGTTTTTAGATTACTTGAATTTTTTCAATATATTTTCCCTTGACTGATTTGAGATGTAGACATTCTAAGTACTCTTGATCACCCTTAAAAATTGAACATGCCTAACATCCAAAAATGGTAAATAGATGTACCTTCTCCCAAACAAGATAAAGATGTTAAAATATGTTAATTATAATCCTCTAGTTCTTTATTAACCTCCAAAATGGATTTATTAGTATTTTATAGAGTTAATGTTTAGGTTTGTGAACATGATTATCTTTTTTTTCTGCTCACCTTTTTTACTTGCATCTCATATATTCATTCCTTCCAAGTAGAATTCACTTTCTGAAACTATGTCTTTGAAACTGCGATTTTGAGCTGACTTCTTTGGACTGTTTTAAGATATTCACTGTTATCTTTGGAGAGCTGCAGTTTTTATTACATGTCTAGCTACATATTTGTTCTTATGATGGTTGGGATTTAGGTGCTTCCTGAATCTGCAGGTGTATGCCTTCATCAAATCTGGGTTAATTTCAATATTTAAAAATATTTTATTGTGAAATTTTTATACAGAAAAGTGCATAAGTAAGTTAACGGGTAATTATAAGCAAAAATTATGTAACTAGGTCAAGAAATAAAACATTCCAAGTGATCAGGAATTCCAGAGGTTTTTGTTTGTTTTTGGTTATGTAACTGAACTTGAGGGGTTTACTGTTGGGGGTTGAACATCACTTTGAACACAACCCAAGGAAATGTTGAAAGCAAAGAACTTTTTATTGCTTGTTACATGTAAGAAGACAGGGAAGTAGCTCAGGAAGAACCGTCTCACCATGTTGTTAGTGCAGGAAGTGTTTATCCGGTGTAGAGGTGGGAGCAGGGGGCTTGCACAGGCACTTTTGGTTCAGTTGCTCATGCTTAGCACGTCCAGGGGCTAGTGCATACATCATAAGTCCCCCAAATGGCAGAAACTCCACCTATAGGAGGAGATCTTAGTATTATAATGAACTAAAGGTAACTTTAGGACAACTCAGGGAGGCTTCTGCCCTGGTCTTCAGCTCCATTCCAGCTCAAACTAGCTCAGATACGGGGCTCACAGGTGAGACACACCTAGCAAGGGGCTGTGGGGTGAAACACCTACTCCAGCTTATACTTGGCTGGAACTGTTGGTTCTGCAAAACAAAACATACTCCTTCCCTGCTTTTGTCCCTTCCCCCTCCTCCCTCCTACGGAGAGCTTTGAGCTCTTTTTGAGTAGCTTTCCAATGCATCCTACCTAACTGTTGTTTTCTTATTAAATTTAGATATAATTGGCATGTTGTTTCAGGGGTACAATACAATTATTTGGTATTTGTATATATTGCAGAATGATCACCACAGTAAGTCTAGCATCTATCACATTCATAGTTACAAAATTTTTTTTTCCTTGTAATGAGAACTTTCAAGATCTAAGGAAGTCCAGAGTTTTTCTTAGCATTTTATCATGTTGGGAGGGTTTAGTAAATCATTGACCTTGTGGTTAAACTCAGTCTCCAGTTCGCCCGGGCTCATACCCTCCCAGGATGTCAGGATGGCTCAAGGTCTCAACATTCTAATCATGTGGTGGTCTTTCTGGTGTGGGCTGTAACAATCCTAAACCTTACTGTTGGCATAAACTATCTAAGGCCCCAGTGAGTCACCTCATTAGCGTATACCATGATGAATAAAAAAGATACATTGTTAGGGAAATTCTAAGGGCTTTAGGAGCTCCACGCCAGGAACCCTGGACAAGACCAGATAAATTCTACTGCAGAATATTTGGAAATAAGTCTTGAGATGTTTTATGACCCCAAATGTGCCCTACCTTAGTAAGTGTTCCGTGTACACTTGAATGTGTGCTTTGCTGTTGAATAGAATATTGTATAAATGTCAATTAGTTTTATTTAGTTAGTGTTCAAGTCTTCTGTATCCTTATGGATATTTTTGTGCATTAATTATTGAGAAAAGAATATTTAAATCTCCAACTATAATTATAAATGTATCTTTTTCTCCTTGCAGTTTTTAAATCAATTTTGTTTCTTGTTATTTGAAGACACATTCAGGGCTATTATGTTTTGAGGAAATGCCCCTTTATCATTCTGAAATGACCTTTAAACCTGATAAATTCTTTGCTCTAAAAACCAGTTTCTTTGTAAGAGCCACTATAACTTTTTAAAAAAGTAATGTTAGACTGGTGTCTTTTCCTAGGCTTTTAACGTATTTGTATGTTTATGTAAAAAATGAAGTTTTACATAAGAGACTCAATCTCACAAAACAAACTGAGGGTTGGGGGGAATAAGGTGGCTGGGTTATGGACATTAGGGAGGGTACGTGCTATGGTGAGTGCTGTGAAATGTGTAAGCCTGATGATTCACACCCCTGTACCCCTGGGGCAAATAATACATTATATGTTAATAAAAAATAAAGTGTTTTAAAAAATTATATTTTAGGGGCGCCTGGGTGGCTCAGTGGGTTAAGCCGCTGCCTTCGGCTCAGGTCATGATCTCAGGGTCCTGGGATCGAGCCCCGCATCGGGCTCTCTGCTCAGCGGGGAGCCTGCTTCCTCCTCTCTCTCTACCTGCCTCTCTGCCTGCTTGTGATCTCTCTCTGTCAAATAAATAAATAAAATCTTTAAAAAAAAATTATATTTTAAGGGGTTATACAACAGACAGTTG